TATTTCAACATTGGAGTAATTAGCATGAGACTGGCTCACAAAAAAACACATAAATATCTACATTTCTACTTTTAATACATTTGAACTATGACATTTTAATCTTTAATTAGTTTGATTAAATTATTTAAAACGGTATTTTTAACATTGTGGTGAGCATAATGCAGACTGCATCATGAAATGCAATACAAGACACTTATTCTTTATACAGAATAATTGACTCAAATACCTGCTGTATCTTTGATATTGATACACACATTTCCAACACCATTTTTCTATGAAATAAGCTACAAAATATAAACTGATCAGAACTTGCTTCAATTCAGGAAATATTTATATTGAAATATCAGCAACAATATGAAAGTTATTGTCACCGTAACTTTTTCAATATTAGCAAAAATGGATTTGGCTTTTAAAAACACTATACTGCGTGCTGAGCCTGGGTAATCCACCAGAGGGCCAAAGACATGTATCACATTGCATACAACAGGGTTTTCAGGAAAGTACCAGTCATTTGGAAGATGTAGAGGTCTCAGAAATACATGTATCAATATGATACACTTAAGTAGATGATACATCATTTGAAAAAAAGAACAGTATGAAACTTGGGTTGAGTTTAATCTGTTAGCTGTCTTCACTTCGATATGAAACTGCAGAGATGTTGAAATGCATCATCCTTTCATTCTGGTTCTTTTCACAATACCTTATATATATAAATATATATTTGTATGGTTTTTCCCCTTTCAGCACATTTTTCTAAATTAAACATTTGCATTAAAGCTTCAGTACCCTAAAGATTAAATGATAAGATAATATATATACGTGTGTTTGTGTTTTCTGCATGTGTGTGTGCTGCTGTCATGTCCTGCTGTGAGGGACAAGGACTCCTCCTGCTGTCTCACTGTGTCCCTGCCTCCTCAAGACAAGTCTGGACCTGGCATCAAATCAAGCTCCCACTGTGACGATCCCATTGAGTCCCCTCACACTGCCATCATTAGAGACAACAGCTATAATTACCCAGTAAAATCTACCAAAACAACGAACCACAGCTCAATTACCTTACATTTTTTCTGTCAGTGCCAATTAGTTAAAGTGGGAATATTCCGGGAGGATATTCTTAGGTAAAGGCTAAGATTGAAGCTTAACGAAACATTAAAGGGGCCCTATTATGCTCATTTTCAGGTTGATACTTGTATTGTGTGCCTCTATTTTGATATGTTTACATGCTTTAAAGATCTGCTATCAGGCATATATTATGGGTCTCAAATATATAAAAATATATAAAAAACATGTCTGTGTTTTGCTCAAAATATCAAACAGATCACCCATTGTAGCCTCAAAGCTCAAATGCTTTTTCTCTTGCGGGTTTACCAGGTGAGTTCCTTTCTGTATTTCCTGCTTTTTTACACATACTCTCTCCAGTACACGTTAGCTCTGAGTGTTAGCGATGCTTGCTAATGTAAACACAGACCTTATTACGTCCAAAACACGTCGTGCATTGTTTCTGATAGCAACGTTTCTGATAGGGCCGTGGGTGTAAAGCCAGCCCACATTTCCGATATTACCTCATATCGGCAGCAAATCTGGATCAGCTCCTTTGTACCCCCGTTTTTAGAGATGTGAGTAAGGAGGAAAAGAGAGGTTTTGTTATCTGACACGTTGTGAGTTCCCTGACACACCGGGGGACACATATTTATGTATAAAAAACATCAAAAAGTGCATTTTGCAAGATAGGAGACCTTTAATGTTCAAAAAGCTCTTTATTTTTCTCATACTGCCTGTGCTGCAGCACCTCTTTTCACCCTCTGTCTGAAACCAGAGCCCAGTCTGCTCTGATTGGTTAGCTGGCCGTCTCTGTTGTGATTGGTTTAATTGAACTATTCATATCTTAAACTGCACTGTAACTTTTATCCATGTATTTTTTCTTTTAATGTTTATTTTATTATCTTTGCTTTTTAATGACTGGTTTAAATGCCATATTCTTAATGTCTTTCATTGTTGTAAAGCACTTTGAATTGCCTTGTGTTGAAAGGTGCTATATAAACTTGCCTTGCCTTGCCTTGGTCAACCGCTTAGAGATGTCCCGCCCCTTAGCCTATCACATACAATTTGTTGGAGCTCTGGCCACTAGAAGCATGGGTGTTAGATAGTTATGTCATTATGTTACAGAAGTAAACAAAGGAGTCCAATGTACTTGTTTCAGGCAGACAGGGACAAACGCGTTACAACGGCCAAAAACACTTTTATTAGGAGAAACGCTCTGCAGTTTCAAAAACGATGCACTGGAAAATGACCTTTTATTGTCTTATTTTAACAATGCGATCACATGATTTCTTCCAACATTATTGCAGATCTGCTGTAAGCTTGTCACTTCAAATATACTGACCAAACACTTTCAATATTGAAATAATCCCCAAACATCAACAAACATCAACAAATATCGTGTCCCTGTTTCTGTTGTTTTTGCAGCGTTATTGTTTTTGCAGTGTTTTGTTTATTCAGCGCCTTCAGTAAACACTGTGCATGTTTCGTCAAGTAGGCAAATGTTTTTTAAATGCTGCGTATGTGTTGTATGCGCATGTGTTTTGGTACATTTGTGTTTCCATATTTACATCGTTTTACCGGTAATACACATTTGATGAAATCCTACATTTTTTTTAACAATTAATGTTTATCCTCACATAAATGCACAGCACTGCATGCATTGGATCAAAACGACCAATACTATTCAACCGTTTTTCATCCATTAAAAAAAACTGTTGTGATGATCTGCACAGTTTAATGTGAGCAGGATTATGGACGGACAGGGCCCTTCAAACATCCAGGTGCTTTGCAAGCAGCGGTGGAGCAGATGCACTAATTATTGGCATATTGTGAAACAGGAGATGAACGCAGGGCAGTGTTTGATCATTAGCCCACCACGGTGCTTCTAACAGGATGTTATTGTCTGTCCCCCTCTTATCTAGACCCTTGATGTGTTGCCCATGGCAACCGCATGCAAAGACCTCAAAGGGTATCAGCGGAGAAAGGAGGCGCAGTGGAGGGGCTGATTGAACAGATAACAGCCTTAGGAGACAGACTCGGTGAGGTGACCTAATACTCTCAAATGCTGTGTTGAGAACAAACAGTAGAGCTTCATTTTGTGAAATACATGTGTCTTCATCTCCACTAAGGTACTTGATTTGTTATGGAGTCAAATTTGGCTATAAGATCTTACATTTGTAGTGAGGAATTTAACATTAGGGTCAGAATCAGAATCAGAATCAGAATACCTTTATCGTCAGAATACCTACGCTAAGAAGGATTCAATTATGATGAAAAGCAATGGTAAAAATGAGAAAAAATATTATTATTATTATTATTATAAAATATATTTTCCTTTTATGGCCCCAAAATGTTAATAGCTTCAGTAGTTAGGAACACAAAAACCAATAAAAGAGACATAACCCGGAACCTTTTTTTTGTTTTACGGGTTTAACAGGCATACACTTAATATTAAACAAACTAGAATAGTTTTTCTAAAAGATTATTTACAAATCATATACCAGTATTTATAACAGATCCCCTAACAGGAAATGATATGCCAGAAAACGGTGCCAGTCAGTGTGACCAAGCAGACAAAGTTAGCTGTTCCTCTTAGCAGTGGTGAGGAGGAAATGAAAATGAAATATGCCTTCTGCAGCCCCCCGATTAGTACAGTATATGGTAGAATAAAGTCGTTTAGGGAATGACATTCCAGGAAACATTGAGGAAACTGGCTATCCTGTGCAATAAAAATTGGTTTTTCTATAGGTTTCCCCTTTCCTGTTGTGTGTTATATACTGAATGTGGTTGTGCATGTTAATGGTCTGTAAAGGCTAAAATCCCTGTGTTCCCTCAAGAGGGAGTCGTCTGTTGTCGAAAGTCTCTAATTATCATAGATTTAGTGTATTCATTTTTGCTATGATTTAATTCTACTTTGAAGAAATTAGACTTATTTTCTTAGAACGGGAAACGAGTTCCCTAAGATCCTTCTGAAATATACTCTGCTGACAATTGACCATCAATGTGTAAAATAACAGTTAAATGTATTATGTTAGATCATGTTTATCTTTTACAAGGCTACTTTTAAGGGTCTCAGTCCTGGGAATCAGTAAATCATTGATAAGACACTGAGATGCTGCAATATAGAGCCAAGGTTGCAGCTGCAGTCTGCATGGGTTTTTGAATGTCTATTCATGATGACAATGTGCTGGCTCCGTAACCTGAGAGAGGTTGAGCCATGTGATGAAACCTCATGACTCTGTGACCCCTGCATGGCTGTTAGCTTGGATTAGAGAAATGCATGACATCAAATAACTGCTCTGCTTTTTGGGTTTTAAATGATTCAGTGTTATGTATCACAATTGGCGGTTGAACTATAATGTAGGCCCAGGACCAAGCCCAGGGTCTCACATACCAAATGTCACTCAAAGATACACGTAACAACCAGGAAGATGCGCAAAATGACCACAAAAAAACATGAAATGACTAATAAAAACGAACAAAACAACCTCAAACAAATAGAAAGCGACCACAAAGACACACACAGTTAAAGAAGAGGAAACAACGAGACTTAAAATTATTTAAAAAGAGATTAAGCAACTACCAAAAGAAACAGAAAGGGGCAAAACAACCATAAAGAGACAAACAAAATTATAACAAAACACACAAAGCAAACATTTAAAAAACCTTTTGCATTTCTTATTAGAAGGGCCCTTTAAATTACATCTGCCCATGCATATCTGACTTTTAATTGGATGAAATATAGAGGGATTAAAAAATAGGTGTGAGACTGTAACATTAATTGTGAAGAGTACTTCCTTCTGTGGTTTCACACGAGCTCACAATTTCCCAGAAAAGTCATAAGGAAAAAGTGCTAAGTCATGCTGTGTCGTGGGAGGTTGAGGTTGATGCTGGAGGACTGAAGTTGGTTGTGATCAGTTATCGCGAGAAGTGAGTCGTGCTATAAATACCGCATTCGAGCCTCTCACCGCCTGCAGTCCGCTCTCCTCTTCTCGCCTGCTTCTGACTGTGTGGTGAGGTCAAAGCTGAGGTATGTGTTGTAGAATACATTTAATTACGTGCTGTTTTACACTTTAAGTTTTTTTTTGTAAGTGTTCTTTTGTAAGGTTTACTTTTTGTTTTTAGTTGAGTAAGAGTATTAGGCTGCAGTTACAGTTCAACAAGTGGTTCTTCACTAAACTATGTAACGTTATTGTTAATTTAGAAAGTTTTCTTTAAATTTGCTTCGAGAAATCACGTTAATTTGTTGATAAAGTGGAAACCGAGAGACTAACTCTCGGAAAGTTTCGGGAGAAATCGACCTTTTTTCGAGTTTAACGTGAATTAAATGAAGATAAATACCAAAACGCACTCGGGGGATATTAGCCTACTTTAAATTTGACCATTACAAATAAAATGTACCAGAAATTTGTATCAAGAAAAAAACATATTAAAAATCAGTGCAAGGCTAAATCCTACATTTGCGGAAACACCTGTGCGATATTTAAAACAGAAGTTGAAATGGTTCATATGGTTGGCTAAATATACATTTGCGGAAACACCTGTGTGACATTAAACAGAAGTTGAAATGGTTCATAGGTTTCGGTGGTGTTTTGTGTTTAAGTGCTGGGTGCTTAAATACTGTAATGGCGGTCTGAGCTAACTGGGTGTAGAAGGAGCCTTAAAGACACATTTATTGTATAACAGCTTCCAACAGACACAATGTGTGGTGGTACATTTAAAGTTTAGCAACACAGAAAAATGACTCTCTTCCACAATATAACAGTGTATTGTAAAGAAGTGAAAGAAGTACTCACATCCTCTTCTTAAGTAAAAGTAGGCTACTAATACTACAGTCTTACAATTCTCCATTACAACTAAAAGTGGGATATGTTATTTAAGTAAAAGTACAGAATTATCATCAGCTAAATGTACTCAAATATCAAAAGTAAAAGTACCAATTGTGCCTCTTATAAATGTGTTGTATTATTATAGAATATTATTTTATTCTGTTTTTATCATTAGAAAATAGATACGTTTTTAAATGTTGTAATTCGTCAATATTGAGCACTTTTTGGAGAGTACTGAGTAAAGAAGTAGTTAATATATATCATATAAACATGTATTTGTTTAAAAAGGAATTACAAATAATGTAGTGCAGTAGAAGTACATAAAAGTAGCAGAACATGGAAAGACTCAAGTACTCAGTTACATTCAACCACTGGTATTGTACACTGTATTACACATTTGTATATATATGTCATTGATTTTGGCACAGTTCTATAATAACTGCTTCACCATTTTCGCTGGAACTGTCCATTTATTAATACTTTTTTACAATAAGCTGATTTATTGTTTTTGCCCATTATAATTTTGTAGAGTCCAAGATAACGTCAGCAGATATGATCTAAAGTTAAATCATACAAGACAAAGAAAATAAACATTGTATTAAGGAAGTTGGAGTGGGACAATGTTTTGTTCATAAACAATCACCACCATGTCAATTGATTATCAAAATTAATTAATTCGTTTTTTTGCTTTTTTTGACAGACATCATTATTTTAAAATTGATTATTTCTTTAGGTTATTTAATGTAAAACTTAAAATGTTTGGGTTACAACGATTTCAGTACGCAAGCATGAGTTCTTGAAATGCTGTCATTTGGAAAAGAGATTGTGTAATACATCAACGTTTCCTTCTTCCGTTATCCAGTTAGACTGAAGATGGCTGCAGGCAAGGCACACATTGGAATGCTGGCCCCAGACTTCACAGCTAAGGCGGTGATGCCAGACGGACAGTTCGACGACCTGAAGCTGTCCGACTACAGAGGTAAACCTCCACCTGTGTCTCCTCCACCCCTAGAGTGGAGGACATGCTTTGATGAAGCTCTCTTTTTGACTGTAATTCACTTTGCTTTGAGATCCAACAATTGTTATTTAGACATTTATTTACACTTCTAAAGACCAGCATGAAAAAGCGTGCAATTACCTTATAGAGTAGTAGGGGAATGACTCCTAAAACTTGGAAATTAGTTAGCATTTTATCTCTTCCACTTCCCTCATCTTCAAGATTAGGGTTTTGAAGGTATTTTTGGTTAGAGGCCTGTCTGTAGTTAACACAAACTTTAGATATTTTATGTTTTGATCTATGGCATAAAATATGTCAGTAAATACCTCACTCGTAAATGTAAGAAGCTTATATGTGTCATATTACATTTTGTATAAACTGTAAAGCTCCCTGAGACAAATATAAAATGTGTGATATTGGTCTATATAAATAAACTTTGATTGATTTAAACAGAGGTTGCTAACAAGTGACTTAATAAAACTACTGAAGGCATCACGCCAAACATTAGCCACCTTTAGCTTAGCGGTGGTGACCAAAAGTCATGCTGACGTGATGTAGTTCATTTATAGCCGAACGTTAGCTTTCAACGCTTCAAAAATCACAAAGTGGAGATAAAATGTGGACATTATCCTGCCAACAAAATGTGCAAGTATCATTAAAGGCTCTTTGCCAGAGATATTATTTTTGCAATATTCTGAAATCCAATGGAAAAATCCCATTGCATTTTGTTGAGGGAGCTCTTGAGATGCTAACTTCCGGGTGTCTTCATTTATACATCATAGAAGCACCACTGTATTGTGATACATTTACAAAAGCCTTACTTGTTTCCATTTCCTTTGGTGCAGGGAAATATGTTGTCTTTTTCTTCTATCCGCTGGACTTCACCTTTGTGTGTCCAACTGAGATCATCGCTTTCAGTGACGCTGCCGAGGACTTCCGGAAGATCGGCTGCGAGGTCATCGCCGCCTCTGTCGACTCACACTTCTCCCATTTCGCATGGTAGTTACCAGCTTGATTTCTTAAACAGCAGATTTTATGGATTCACTGTTGCAAAGTCCTCACTTTTTCTTACCTCTTAGGACCAACACGCCACGGAAGCAGGGCGGTCTGGGTGCCATGAAGATCCCCCTGGTGTCTGACACTCGACGCACCATCTCCACAGATTACGGTGTCCTGAAGGAGGACGAGGGCATTGCCTACAGGTGGGTTTTACAATACAGAGTTTAAATATGCTTTGAAAAAGGTTCGAAACAAGGAAACATTGTTCATTGTTTAGGCACAATTTAAAAAATACACAACAGATAACTTATTTAAAGCTTTTACCCAAAAATATTCAGAATGTAATAGAGCAGTGGTTCCCAACCTCTTTCTCTTTGGTGACGTGTATCCCTTGAGCTGTTCTTTAAGAACCCCCCCCACTCATCGGTGATGATTCACATACATTTTTTCTTGTGTTAAACCCTTTGTAATCGTATTTAACCCAACCGCTCCTTAGATGAAATTCACTTGTATAACTCACCCTTAATAAAAATCAATTTAGACTTGACATTAACACTTATTGTGAGTGGAAAAATAATAATATTAAGACTCACTTCTAGCACTGTCAACATCTTTTGTTAGGACTAGAGCTTTTACCTCTGCATCTAATCGAAAATGACCCCTGCAAGTGATAAACTCAGGGGGACAAAGATCGGAAGATTGACTTGATTGAGCTGCATAAGAATGAACCTGTGATTTTGCTTAAAGTCGTTTTTGTAGTAGTTGCTGTTTCTCGCTGAGTGAGATAGCAAAAATTCAGAATATATCATGAAATTCACAACCATTAAAATGCTCTTTTACGGGACTTGATTGTTTGGAGACTGATAACCTGCTCTTTTTCTCTCTTTAAGGGGTCTGTTTATCATTGACGACAAGGGCATCCTGAGACAGATCACCATCAACGACCTGCCTGTTGGACGCTCAGTCGAGGAGACCATGCGCCTGGTCCAAGCCTTTCAGTTCACTGACAAGCACGGAGAAGGTAAGGTTACATTATGCAAATGTGTGGCACCTGTGATGCATTTTACCACGTATTGTAGCATCCAGCTTGAGTTTGACTATTCTGACACTAAACATTTTCAAAATTGCTTGAAATGTTATATTCTGTGAGTGGTGTAATCACTCTCACCTCACTCTCCATGACCCAAATATGGATATTTTAATAATTTAAAATGTAAATATTTAAAATGTTAAAATTAAAATGGGTAAACACACTGCTCGCGTTTAGTTTTGTACTTAAATTACCCCAAATGTTTCCAACAATTTAAAACCTAGAGATGTGTGTATTTTCAATCAAGGTAACAGAGTGTTTAATTGTGTCTCCAGTATTGGCAACGTTGTCCTAAAAAAATTAATATACTTATTTACCATGCAAATTAGACAGGCAGTCAGTGCCTCTGTATCAGGTACAGCCAATGTACTGTTCCTATGTTCACCTAAAGCCAATTCAGACACCATGTCACAATTCCTTCTGATAAATGCTAAAGACCTGGAAGACATTATCCAACATCTGAAATCCTCCTCCTGTAGCTTCGACATCATCCCGACAGGATTTTTCAAAACTGTTTTTCATTGCTTGGCCTCAGATATACTACACATAGTAAACAAGTCTCTTCAATCAGGTGTATTTCCACAGGCCCTGAAAACTGCAATAATTAAACCGCTCCTAAAAAAGCATAACCTAGACGAAACCATAATGAATAACTACAGGCCAATATCAAACCTTCCCTTTTTAAGTAAATTTATTGAAAAAGCAGTTTTTCAACAGTTGAGTAATTTCATGTTTTATCTGACGGTTTTGATGTGTTTCAGTCGGGCTTTCGACCTAACCACAGCACTGAGACTTAACTTGTTAAGGTCTTAAATGACATCCATTTGAACACAGACAGTGGCAGAATATCGGTGTTAGTATTATTAGATCTCAGCGCTGCCTTTGATATTGTTGACCACAACATATTGCTAGACCGTCTTGAAAACTGGGTGGGAGTTTCAGCAACAGCTCTAAACTGGTTTAGCTCCTACTTGAAGGACAGAACTTTGTCTCAATAGGCAATTACAAATCAACCCTGATAAATATGTCATGCGGGGTTCCTCAAGGCTCCATCTTAGGACCTTTGCTTTTTAATATTTATATGCTATCTCTGGCTGAAATTATTAAAAAGAGCGATCTAAGCTATCACATCTATGCAGACGACACCCAGATTTATTTTAAAATTACACCGGGAGACTACTCTCCGATTAGAACACTGAGCAAGTGCATTGAGCACATCACTGACTGGATGACTCAGAACTTTCTCCAATTGAACAAGCAAAAAACTGAGATAATTGTTTTTGGAGCAAAGAAGGACCGAGTAATCACAGAGCTTCAGTCGGCAGACGTAACTCACAAAGCAAGAAATCTGGGTGTAGTGATGGACTCAGACCTGAATTTTAACAGTCACATTACAACAGTCATTAGGTCTGCATACTACCACCTGAAGAATATATCAAGGATTAAAAAACTAATGTCGCAACAGGATTTAGAAAAGCTTGTCCATGCTTTTATTTTCAGTAGACTCGACTACTGCAATAGTGTATTCACAGGGCTCACTAAAAAATCTATCAGAAAGCTGCAGCTGATTCAGAACGCTGCTGCTCGAGTACTCACTGACACTAGAAAAGTGGATCACATCACTCCGGTTCTGAGATCATTACACTGGCTTCCAGTCTGCCAAAGAATTGATTTTAAAATACTACTGCTAGTTTTTAAATCACTAAATGGCTTAGGACCGAGGTATATAGACGACCTACTCCATCACTATGAAGCATCCAGGAGTCTCAGGTCTTCTGGGTCGGGTCTGCTCTCTGTTCCGAGAATAACCACTAAACATGGAAAATCAGCTTTTAGTTATTATGCCCCAACAATTTGGAACAAACTGCCTAAATCGTGCACGTCCGCCGAAACACTTCCTATTTTTAAATCCCGACTAAAAACGCACCTATTTGCCGCTGCTTTTAATTGAGCTGCCCATACTCACACTACAGTATGCCTTTTTAGTCATGTATTCTGTACCTGCTGTGTTTATTTATTTATTTTATTTTCATTATCTTTGCTTTTTATGCCTGTTTTTAAATGCCTTTTTAATAATGTATTTATGCTGTATTTGTTCTTAAATGTCTTTTGCTTTTATTGTGTAAAGCACTTTGAATCGCCACGTGCTGAAAAGTGCTATATAAATAAAATTGCCTTGCCTTGCCTTGCCTTACCAAGTTTTAAGCTACATCTTAAAAATACAAAACGTTAGCCGTTAGCTTGTAGCCCACCCATCCCATGTCCACAAGAGAAACACAGTATTTTACTGCAAAACTGCTTTATTCAGCATTTTTGCCTTTTTTTTTTATCAATGTGTCTGTTTGTTCAGAGAGGGGTAGACCTCTGCAGATAATTCGGCTCCTGAAGAATAACCTTGTGAACAGTGACAAATAAAAAGAAAACGAACTGGAAGAATTGACAGCGATGACAAACTCCTCTGATCCCATACTACTTCACAACACAACCCAACTCCATCTTTGGATATTGTTTTGATTGAGGGACCCCAAACGGCAGAAATTACCTATTGTGCATTTGACAGTATTACTTCTAGTACAAATAAATCCAGAGTTGTTTGTTTGGAAAGGATTTTCAACATAGGCCTACTGTATATGTCAAACAGGGAAAAGACCAGCCAACAATATGATGTTTTTCCTTGCTTTGAATCCGAACGAAATAGATGTTAAATTATACGTTTGTCATGTTTTTCCCATACTGTTTCATCTACCGAGCCAGGACTCATTACAGGCTTATCTTTTCAGTGTGCCCAGCCGGATGGAAACCAGGAAGTGACACCATCAAACCCGACGTCCAGAAAAGCAAAGACTTCTTCTCCAAACAGTAAAAAGGCCAAGCCCAGAGTCTGCAGCCTGCTATAGGAGATTTCATTTAGAGATAACATTTCGTGAAAACAATATTTAAGTCAGTCCCTGTGCCTGTGGAGGACTCGTTGTGACAGTTTTTGTAGTGTTATGTTGTGTGTACAGTGAAAAGTGCACTTATGACCAAAGTATATCAATGTGCTAGTAATGTATGCTATTTTCACTTTCAGACTGAGCAAAATGCCTGCTTGTTCTTTCTTATCCTTCCTTACTGTTGTTTGATGCAAATTGCCATTCAATTTTTCATTTGAATGAAACCACAAGCACCTCTAAATGATGTCGTACTTTTTTTTTTTACAGTGAGCTTTCATCAAAATAAAAACATTGTTTACAACACTCTCCTAGAGGAACATGTTTACTTCAAACTTCGAGGGGAAATGTTGGTGTTACTATATTTATACGATAAATATTTTCATGGTATATCTAGTATAAGTCAGCTGTTTTTGTGTGTTCATGTAAGATGCCCTAAACACTTTCTTAATGACAGTATTTTATTGAGGTAGTATGACTTCCTTTAATCTATCACATCTATAACCTCAGTGAACAATTACTGCACATAGTCCAACAGATTACTAAATGGAGGAAGATAAACTGCAATCTATTATAATATGGAGGCTTAAGTATGTCCATTAATGAAGCCAATGAGTAATCATTATGTTCAAAATAAATTTGCATTCCCTTGACAGGTTGCTTAATTGTTGCCAGGTGCTCTCAAACACTGCCTCACACAGGTGTTTTTACTTAATTTAGCTGATAAGACCTCTTCGAACACCAACTTTGAATCTTTTAATATGCAGTTATAACATATTAGGTGTTTTTGCTGCTATACTGTTAAGAGTAGTGTTGGCAACTGATGTAACTGGATGGACATTTCAGTGAGTTACCTTTCCCTTATTTGACCTAAATTTGCACCTACACACTTTCACCTGTGATTGAATGCCTTGAAAAGGTAATATTTCAATTTTGTATTCATTAATTACCTATACTTATTTATTTCACAGGCGTTTTAGCTTAGATAAAGTAAAAATGTGTAATTAACATCAGTCAATTCAATGTAAAAATGACTTCCGGTTATTTACGTACAGTAAATCCGACAATGTACTGTTGTTGTACGGCACGCAGATTAGTGGCGGGAAAAATAAACAAAGATATCCTGCCTAATGTATAGGTCATTTTTGTGTTTTACTAACATAAGCCTAACTTGTTAAGACTTCCGATAGGCGTTTTAATACAACATCGCATAAACATATTAAAAATGAGCCCGTGAGGAAAGGTTTCATTACTTTAATAAGCGTCTGCGTCACTATCTGATATTGAATGTGTGTAGGCCTATTCATCTTGTTAGCTTAGTGTTAGTTTAGGTAATTAATCAGTAGCAATAGTGATAAGGTGAAAATGGCTGCTGGGAAGATGTGCACCAGGAAGAGCAAGGAGGAAACTGCCGAGGTTTGACCACAACACATTAAAGCTAAAAGTAACATGTTTACCATTTGTTTGAATTAGTGTGTACATCTATAAGTGTACATTAACTTGATGTTTAAGTAAGCTCTGGAGGACATTTTACGTAGACAACGGCGCCATCGTGTGGGCCTTCAAGTCAAATGTAGCTCCTGTTTTCTCCTTTACTTAACGTCTTTGTTTGTTCCTTTTAATGTTTTAAAAGTGGATAGGATTGTTCCTGAATGACTTGAAAACGGAGCAGGAGTCTCTCGTTTTTGTCAAGAGGATGATGGCGGTGGCGGTGTCCTCCATCACCTACCTCAGAGGGATCTTTCCAGAAGATGCCTACAGGTCCAGATATCTGGAAGGTAAATATTAAACACCCTCAAATAGCCTAGAAGTTTAGGAAAATAAGAACAATTCAGGCATTCATCTCTCAATGGGTGCGTTGTTGTTGTGTAAATTGTAGGCTACCCCTAGCTGTACTGTGAACCCATGAACATCTGAGAAGAATATACATTTTTAGGACTTTAGCCAACACGTAAAGTAGTATACACTTAATAAAAGGCTCTTACATATCTAAACTCTAAACAGATGTATGTGTTCTATAGGATGTATGTGAAGACATACTGTACATCTGTTTGCACTCCAAATATGTATTTATATTACAGTATTACAATATGGAGTAAAATACTCCAATCCACTGTACAAAAAATGTTACATATTTCTACTTTCAACCTTTTTGTCACTTGCACTATTTTATTTTATTTCTCCTCTGACTATTATAATTTCTTTGTATGTCTTAAGTTTCTAGTATGTTGCATTGCTGGAAGAGCCTAGGACTTTTGGGTTGGGGACTGGATTTTGATTGACAAACTATGGTGTAGCTATTGTGCATATAACAATATTGCCTTGAACTTTATATTGTCTCGGTGGTAATCATTGCTCTTCATCAAAAAGTAATACATGCTGTTTTATTCTGCCATTCCCACAGATTTGTGCATCAAAGTTTTGCGTGAAGACAGCAACACTCCTGGTGCCAGCAAGGTTGTGAAATGGTAATTACAAAATTCCTGCCTTAATGCTCCCATAATAAACATTAGTACTGGCCACATTAGCTAGCTCAAGGCGTAGCGAGCTCAAGAAGTAGGAAGTCGGCAGCGATAATAAGCACTTGGAGACTGAAGGTCTAATTATTTATTTTTTTGCAGGATGATGGGCTGCTTTGATGCTTTAGAGAAGCAGTATGTAAGTTAATGCATGCGTGAATAATTTACATTTGTATAATATGTTTTCTTTTTTTTTACTAATTTTCAATGTTGTCCTTTTTAACAGCTCCAGGTTGTTTTCATTGGGGTAAGTCAATCGATAAAGCAACATTTAATGACAACACATTGCTTACAAGAAGAAAACAGAACAATAACTCCGTACATGTTATTGCAATATAGGTGTACACCAATCCAGATGAACCTAATGTAAGTCATTTTTAAAAATATAAAAAAATAAACAGAAACCCAATTTTGTCAGATCCCAGATCATCATTGAAATACATTTATTTTTCTCCTTTTGCAGTGCATTATCGAGTCGTACCAGTTCAAATATAAATACACTGAGAAGGGGCCTGAGATGAACATACTCAGGTTAGGATTATACTTTCTATGTTTGAGTAAATAAATTAGAAAAGGCTTCCACGTGACCAAACTGATGTCGCGGTTACCTCCATGAAACCTCAGGAACAACGATGTGGAGATGCAGGTGACATTGGAGGACACCAAAAAAGCCTCAGTGCTGCTCATCAGGAAGCTCTTCCTGCTCATGCAAAACCTGGAAGCCCTCCCCAACAACGTGTACATCACCATGAAACTCTACTATTATGATGACAGTAAGATTGTGTCTCTGCCCAAACAAATAAATAAGAATATTAGCGTCATACCTCGGATAATAGGAATCATCTCCTTCTGCTCTTCTTTCAAAGTCACCCCGGCCGACTACCAGCCCCCAGGCTTCAAAGAGGGCGAATGTGATAGCCTGTGGTTCGAAGGCATGGCCGTGCACTTCAAGGTGGGCGAGGTGCAGACGGCGTTCCACACCTTGCTAGTGCGCGTGTCAGCCGAACAAAGCCGGCTGGAGAAGCTTCAAGAAGGGAATCACCTGAGGGACAGCAAGCAGGATTCTCTGAGACATCCTGCAGAGAGCGAGACCATCGAGGTGGGGCAGGAAGGAGGATTTTTAAAGTGCTGGAATTAACTTATATTAGTCTCACTGTAAACTGGCACAAAATTCCCTTTTTCTTCTTTTTTGTTGTAAATGATCCTAAAAATAACTAAATCTAGCTTATTCATGTTAAACAAATGCACAAAATGACTATTCGTTTATCAGTTAATCATCCCGTGGTACCTTGAATTCTACCACGGGATGAAATATAGTATACGAAGAATAAACTCCCAATTTCGCAAACTCCTAATCAACTAGTGCAGTATATTCCAAGACCCATTAGGTTGTAAGCTCACTACTTCCCAAACTCATGTATAATTCACAAAAACCTTACTATTTAAAACACTTTGGACATGCACAAACATTAGCATGCCTGCCCAAGTGTGACACTGTTGGTTTGAGCTATTAGTTGATTTGTATGATTTAATAGTCAAACATTTATTTTATTTCTGTAATTTCAGTGAAGTTAATTTGAGTAGTCGTTCACGCTTTTATTTTGAGGGCTGATTCAGGCACCAGGTGGTCTGGGTATTTAATGATTGACAAGTGAATACCTTTGGAATACCACAAAGGCATATTTTGTTTTTACCACCCATTATTCATTGTACTTTTTGATCGTCTCGTAAATGAGACATGGATTATACTGCATGAGTTGTGTGAGTTTGTTAAATAGATATTTTTACATAATGCAAACCCAATTATCAAGGCTTCCTCAAGGTTTGTTTGAATCTTTGTTCACCCTGGAGGTGAGAAAACGTTTTCTTCAAGAATTCAAGTTTATCGGGACTGAGTAATTAATTGACCAATGGTCGTTTTTGTGGTTGAAGTATTCATTTAAAGTCATCTCATGCATCAAGGTTGTTTTTCTTGTTTGCTGTAAGTTCCTTTAAATTGTTTTTAATACCGATTACAGGACCCTCTTGAGAAAACATACGACGAAGAGGATCTGCCTTCTGAAGATGGTAAGTCTTTGCTGCTCTCAAAACTGTAAATCTGTAAAAAAGGTATCCAAACTTATCAAAACGTTAACACTGCTGACTATCCTTTGAACAGAGTCTGCTGCACAGTTCAAGAAACCTAAAAAACCCATGGCAAAGGTACAGTTTAACTAGCAGAGGCATAATTATATTGAAGTATTCAGGTTACCGAAAAATGTGACACAATGAAAACTTGACTTTCTTTTTTATCTTAGAGAAATGCAGCTACCAGAAATCTGTCGCGGAAGAAGAGGATTTAGCCACAACATCAAACAATATAATAAGCTGTCAGCAATGAACACACAAACATAACATATTTCTTCATTTTATTGCAATGTTAACGCTGTTTAATGTTATGTTACAATTGGTTACATATGAAAATGCGTTGGACAGTTTCTTTACATAATTAAAGTTCTAATTTACACAACTTTGTACAAAAGGCATATTTGAAGTGTACAATCTAGTCTATTAATCAATACCTGTTCAAGTAGCTTAATTTATTATTGTATTTTGCATGTATAAAAATATATTTATGATTGTTGAGGAAATAAAGCTTGACTTGTAAACATATTTGTTCTCCGGTAGAAATATTATTCTGCATACGGATTAAAGAGGATTTTTAGCAAGAATACATACGGTGCAAATCATATAAATCAATACATGTATGCACAACAAGCGGAAAATTCATCGTTCAGCAAATACTGAGGACCTATAGTTTAATCCATTTGGAGCAGATGTTAATTGAAATGTGCTTTAGATGTAAATGTCAAATTTCCGCTATAGGGAATGGGAACCGCGGTGCATTCTGGGGCAAAGAGAAGCTTTAGGCAGAAACAGACAGTTGGTGTCTACACCTGTCTGTATTTTTAAAATATCAAAAATGTAGAGGCCCATGTCAAGTTCACAAACGGGGGGATACTGGACCTTCAAACCTACAGGTTCAATGACAACTATAGAGTCACACAGACAGGGGTAAGATAGCTAATGTTATGCTAACGAAATGTCGACTTATCATGCATCATTTATCTGCCAGTACACGTATGTGCGTATACTGCGATATTTCATGTTGTAAATCATATTCCCCGTTAAGTGGTTTGTGATGCTGTAGTTCAGCAATTATCATCACTTGCCGTATACAGTCAGCTACTTTAAAGTTTAAAGGGACTTGCAGTTCATGATGTCACTTTCCCATTCCCTATTCCCTATTTGTAGTTCCTTTCCCCTCAGTTTAACATTAAAATGACATTCAGAAAAATAGAAATGGCTCATTTTCAGGAGCACAAAGTTTTGATGGTATTTCCCTGAAGCTTTGTACTGGTCCACACTTTGAGTTTCTGTCGCAGTTACAGCTCCACCTTCCTCTCCATGCGTCTCTGTCTAGAAGAGGCTGTCCACGTCTCCCATCTCCACATACACACTCTTCAGCTGGGAGTAGTGTTCAATTGTCACCTGACCGTTCTCCCGCCCTATGCCTGTAAAGAAAAGGAAGTAGTCTCCACAGTGATCAAATCAGCTAACGACTCTTGTTTAGAGAAGGTTTTTTTATACACTGAAATTATACCAATAAAAACAAAATCGCCTGTGATTGCGTGCTAACCTTTATGTATACAGTCTAAGGTCCTAAAACCTGATAATGAGTTAGCATTTTACCACCTTTGGTTACCCCATCAACCTAAAAGTAAACCGTTTTTTTAACCTGCTTTTGGTTTGACTCCTGAAATAGGTTCCGTGGTTAACATCTTGTTTTATGATATGAAATATATCAATACATAGCCCATTTGTAAATCTCTGAAGCTTTTATGAGTCATAAAAACAACGGTGGCTTATAAGTGACTAAATAGGACCAAACATCATCACGCTGAACATTAGCTTAGCGGTGGTGATGCGCAGCCTTCTGATTGTGTTGTTGTTTGTTTATAGCAGAACGTTGCATGCTTAAAAAAAATCACAAAACGGTGTTAAAATGTGAAGAGTTTCCTGCTGAACAAATGGTGTAAGTATCATAAACGTGTGTTTGCCACATAGCTTAGTTTCTGCAGTATTTGAGAATTCCAATATTAAATCCCATTGCTTTTGTCGAGGGAGCTCCTGCGATGCTAACTTCCTGATTTGACTACAAAAACAGGTCATCACTGCAACACTCTACACAGCCTACAGTCTGTACCTGACATTTTGAAGCCTCCGAAGGGCACCTCCACAGGGGTGATGTTGTAGTTGTTGATGAAACAGGAACCAGCCTTCAGGTGTTCCACCACACGATGGGCTCGCTTCACATCACTACAGGAACATAAAGAAACAAAATCTAAAGGTTCAAAACAATACCTATTTTAACCACTATTTACCCAAGCCTTTGTGGTCTATCAATAGTTCAATTTTACTTTTTTGTCCCTTAACTCCTAATATTGCTTCTTTCGACCTTAATTGTTCAGAAAAGTTAAAGATAATAACCATTTAATTTTTTTTTTAAAGAAAAGATGGGATGGGAACTACAGCGCTACACTGCTGTCTTTTTTTTTTTAAAGTGTTTTGACCTATGATCGATACGTCTGCAAATATATTGCAATAATATGATGAGATGTTACTGTATTGTATTTAACACATTTGTTATAGGATAATTCTGTTTTGCCTAAAATAAAATCTCAAAAGATGTGGCTCATACTTCACCAACACCACTTTTTCAAAAATCTAATTTACTAGCCTGCGAGATTGCCCTGAATGTGTCACCACACCCACCTGGTGAAAACTCCTGCAGCCAGTCCCAAGTCGGTGTCGTTGGCTCTCAGCAGCACCTCCTCTTCACTTTCAAAAGACAACACGGACATGACAGGACCGAAGATCTCCTCCTTCACACAGGTCATCTCATCCGTGCAGTTACCTTAACGGGGACAAAGAGAAAGCTAATGGTGTAAAGTAACTAAGTACATTTATTCAAGTACTGTACTTAAAGGTCCCATGTCATGGCCATTTCTACTGATCATAATTCCATTGTTGAGGTCTACTAGAATAGATTTACAATGTTCAATGTTCCAAAATCACATTGGTTTCTCATACAGCATCTCTGTATAGTATGTGTATTCACTCTCTGTCCTAAACGGCTTGTTGGAGCTCCTGCCCCCCCCCTCCCTGTGAGCCCACTGTGCTCTGATTGGTCAGCTCGCCCACTCTGTTCTGATGAGTCCACCACCGTTACAGCGGAACATCAGTGATTATGTGTTACAATGGCGTTAGCAACTAGGAAATGACACCAGTAAGGACAAACAGATGAGAATGCTGTGTGGGGTCTGGGTGCCGTGTTGGCGGGACGTTGCGGGGCTCGCTGCTCCGCCCTTTGAGGCTCGAGGAGCTGACAGTGTGAGTTGGATTACTGGTATCGTTTCCTGGTTGCTGCGTGGGGTCTGCGAGACAGCGAGACATCACAGAGCTCAGCCTGAGCACACACACACTCACAGCCTGAGCTCCGAGTGTGTGTGTGTGTGTGGAGCTCCGCGCAGCACCGCGGCTGAGAAAAGATAAGGCTGAGTGAGTGTGTGTGTGTGTGTGCGGAGCTCCGCAGATTGGTCCATTTGGACCAATCCGTGTAGCTCCGCAGCGTTACGTCACTATGACCAGGAAGAAACAAATGGAAAAAGAAAAATCTCCAACGAGCCTTTCTGGGGCAGCATAGACAGGTCTTTTCTGTGTTAGAGTTTTACTCGCTACAGGGTGTACTTTGAGGGTTTGTGACTTTGCAGACCGTTTACATGCAGAAAAAGCTACATAACACACAAGGGGATGGGTAATAACCAGAAAAGCATGACATGGGACCTTTAAGTATCAGAATCAGAATACCTTTGTTCGTCCCACAGAGGGGAAATGTACATTGTTACAGCAAAAGAGAAGATGGAGAAAAAAAACTAAACCACTATTAGAGAGGGCATGCACATTATATTAAATAAGACCTGAGTTACACCTGGGGTAAAATTCACCCCAGCTGCACCTTTACCAGCTTTAAAAACACATTAATGCATCAACAATTATAATCAAAACTTTTATATATAATATATATTATTCTAAAATGGGCCAATCTGCATAATGAGGACTTTTACTTTTGGTACCTTGAGTATCTTGATGCTAATACTTTTGTACTTTTACTGAAGTAAGATTTTAATTGCAGGACTTTTACTTGTAATAGAGTATTCCTACACTCTTGTACTTCTACTTTTACTTAAGTAAAAGGTCTGAGTTCTACTCCCACCTCTGAAGAAAGCACAAACACTGATGTCACCTAAACTGCATTCAGATAGTGATGAATCCCCTTTGACTCCTGACAACATACTTTTAATTACATCTCCAAAATTGGGAGAGTAGTAAAATAGTGCGCCACACTTTCAGAGATCTTCTGAATGCATTACATCATGGAGGAATTTACAGAAGTCTTACCCAATACACATGGAGTCATGTAGTATCCTCCTCTGAGTTTAGAATCTGATGGGACAAAGGGTTCACCTCCGCACAGCACCGTAGCTCCCTGGAAACGGTACGATTAACGTCAAGGATATCAAAATTGTACTCGCTTCACACGAGCCTATGAGGACAAGCCTTACCTCTTTCTTTGCCTGGTCAACAAAGGACAGGACTCTCTCCAGGTGTGACCTGCTGACCAGGGCTCCCATCCTGGTGCTCTCCAACAGCGGGTCTCCTATCTCGATCGCCCGCGTCCTCTTCACCACCTCCTCCACAAACTCTGGCAGAATGTCCTTATGAACAAACACCCGCGTACCGTTGCTGCAGACCTGTGATACATTTCATTAAATCAAGTATGCTTCCATGCGCAGATTGGACATGAATATACAACATTCAAACACACTATTTACCTGGCCTTGAGACAGGAAGTTGGCCATGAGCGCTCCCTTCACAGCGTTCTCCACATCACTGTCCTGAAAGATGAGCAGAGGAGATTTCCCCCCCAGCTCCAGAGTCACGTGCTTTACTCCCTTGGATGCCATCTCCATAATCTGTGTTATCGAATGATAATACAAACAATTAATATTCCCATTTATTACCTGTATGTACCAGGATGTTTTTATTCAATATATCATGCTAATAAAAGCAATACAAAGTTGACAATTAAATTCATTTTATTGTCAAACTGTTTAAAAAAGTGCAAAAATAAGACATAATGGAGATATGTGAAATGACACCCCGATAAACTATCCAAGGCTTAAAGTAGGGGACGCTAAACATAAAAAATGTACAATATATATTACTAACACATCGGGATTTGGAGAGGTCATGTATCGTACAGGAACATTACAAGCTAA